TTAAAAAAAGTAATCTTTGAAAATAGCCTGGGGTCCACTGAGGACAGACGGATCTCCTTCGTCCCTGTAGAGAAGGAGTGAGCCCTGGGTGGGGAGGGGATTCCAGGAAGCCTTGAAACTGCCTTGGAGAGATAGGGGCTTGGAGACCTGCTGAGCAGACAGCCTCAGGGGCCAAAACCCCTCCCCCAGACAGGCCTGCCCTCATGCCCTCATCTCCGGTCCTGCCAGTCCCACCCCTACCTTCCTCCTTCTCCCACAGCAAGCAGGGGCAGGATCCTAGGTCCATGGCCAAGGCCAGACACCCAGGCCAGGCCTACCAGGCAGAGGCAGGTACCACTAAGAGAAAGGCATCCTGGAGATGCTTTGCCTGGATATACCTCACAGGGAGCTGGCAGAGGAGGGAGGCTGGCCTGGTAGGGCCTGGCGCAGTCCCTGCCTCCCTGCCTGGCAGCATGGCCCCAAAGCCAGCTGCGGAGCAGCCCCCAGCCCAGCCCCACACAGCCTCGTGCAGACGCAGGTGTCGGCCCAAGTCCAGATCCGCCGGGGGCGGGAATGGGAGTTTGTTTCCTCTGCTCGGCCAGCCTGATGCCAGCTTAGCTCTCCCCATGCAGAGTCAGCAGTGAAAGAAGCAGAGGGGCCCGCCGGTCTTCACTCCGCGCAGGAATCCCGATGCTGGACTTTCTGAGTTCCTTAAATCCTCAAGGGACAAAAGCTTTGCCACCTCCCAGGGATCCCCACACTCTGGCTATGCAGCTCCAACACAATAAAAGCCGCCATTTTTGGCAACTTCGGATGGGCCAGGCACTGTGTTGACCTTGTATTTCCTTCCTTCCTTCCTTCCCCTTTTATTTATTTATCTGAGAGCAAGAGAGCAGGAGCAGAGGGAGCAGCAGAGGGACAAGCAGACTCCCCGCTGAGCAAAGAGCCTGACGAAGGGCTCGATCCCAGGACCCCAGGATCATGACCTGAGTCGAAGGCATATGCTTAACCGGCTGAGCCACGCAGGTGCCCATCCTTTTTTTTTTTTTTTTTTTTTTTTAAGATTTTATTTATTTATTTCTGAGAGAGAGAGAGCAGGAGGAGGAGCCGAGCGAGAGGGACAAGCAGACATGGAGCTCCATCCCACGATCCTGAGATCATGACCTGAGCCAAAACCAAGAGCCAGACGCTCAACCTGCTGAGCCCCCGGGTGCCCCGATCTGGCATACTTCCTCTCACAGCAGCTCCGTGAATTAGGCACGACTGTCACCATCTGCATTTGCTGCTGTGGCAACAGAGGCTTAGAGCCATTCAGCGTCTTGCCTAAAATCATGCAACATAGATGGGGCAATAGATTCCCCACCTCCGTCCAGTGGGAAGGCCTAGAAGCAGTGACACGTCAATAGCCATGAGCACACCCAGTGCCCAGATCTTGGTTTCTGAACACCATCTCCAATGAAAACAACTACGAGCCTTAGAGAAATGACAGATTCTAGCACTCAGGCTGGGTGAGCACAAGATGAGCCCGGAGCATCTCCCAGTGCCAGAAAGCGAGGACATGCTCAAAAGACAGAAATAAAAGGGGATGTCAGACAGCCACAGGAGGGGCGCCTAGGAGGCTCGGTCGGTGAAGCGTCTGCCTCTGGCTCAGGTCGTGACCCCAAGGTTCTGGGATCGAGACCCTCATCAGGCTCCCTGCTCAGCGGGAGCCTGCTTCTCCCTCTGCCTGCTGCTTCCACTGCTTGGGCTCTCTCTCTGTCAAATAAATAAAATCTTGGAAAAAAAAAAACCAAAACCTAAAACAGGGGTGCCTGGGTGGCTCAGTGGGTTAAGCCTCTGCCTTCGGCTCGGGTCATGATCTCAGGGTCCTGAGATCGAGCCCCACATCGGGCTCTCTGCTCAGCAGGGAGCCTGCTTCCTCCTCTCTCTCTCTGCCTGCCTCTCTGCTTACTTGTGATCTCTGTCTGTCAAATAAATAAATAAAATCTTAAAAAAAAATAAAAACAGTAAGCTGTTGCTACAGAAATGGTTAAAATCAATCCTACTCAGATCTGGTTAAGAAATAATCACAGTGAGGAGCACCTAGGTGGCTCAGTGGGTTAAAGCCTCTGCCTTCAGCTTGGGTCATGATCCCAGGGTCCTGGTATCGAGCCCCATGTCCAGCTCTCTGCTCAGCGGGGAGACTGCTTCCCCCTCTCTCTCTCTGCCTGCCTCTCTGCCTACTTGTGATCTCTGTCTGTCAAACAAATAAATAAAATCTTTTAAAAAAAACTAAACTAAAACAGACACAGGAGCGAGTTGGAAAGAGCTCCCAATGGCCAAAGCTGGAACAATTTAAACAACAAAATACATAACTTAGTATTGAATTATAACCCAAAGGAAAGATCCATAAAGGCACAGGTCCTTTATAATAACTGATTACATAAATAGGGAAAAGGAACAAATCTTCCTCGCAGAAGAATCTTAAATAATGGGATACAGGTAGACGTACCCACCAGGAAGCGGGAGCGTGCCTTGAGTGTGGGTTCCACTTGCTTCCCAAGAAGAGAGTATGGGAAGGGGAAGGTAGTAAATGTCACAGTGGAGAAAGCAGACCCCAGCTTACCGATGTAATCAAGGTTAACATCACCAATAAGTCATGCGGACACCACGTGGGCATCACATGCCTCCGGCGATCATGTGACAAGAAGGGCCCTTGGCCTCTGAGGTATTCGTCCCCCAAACCCAAAACTTCTGTCCAGTCATCAGAAAAACACCAGAGAAACCCAAATGGAGGGCCAGTCTAACAAAATTCTGACCAGAACTTTTTAAAATTGTCAGGGTCATGGAAACCGAGGGCGGACAGAGGAAACCGGTGCTGACCAGAGGACCCCAGGGAGACATGACAACAAGACACAATGTGGGATCCTGGATCCGATTCCTGGACCAGAAAAAGGACATTAGTGGGAAAACCGGTGAAATCCGAATAAAATCTGGAGTTCAGTTAATAGTCATGTACCCGCGTTGGTTTCTTAGTTTTGACAACGGTACCATGGTAATGGAAGATCTTAACAGCAGGGAAACAGACATTTGGAACTCTCTGGGCCACCTCTGAAATGTTTCTGTAAATCTATAATTATTCCAAAGTAAAAACTTTATTTTAAAAAGTCACATGGTGGGGGGCCGCCTGGGTGGCTCAGTAGTTTGAGCCTCTGCCTTCGGCTCAGGTCTTGATCTCAGGGTCCTGGGATTGAGCCCCACATTGGGCTCTCTGCTCAGCGGGGAGCCTGCTCCCCCCTACTCTCTGCCTGCCTCTCTGCCTACTTGTGATCTCTGTCAAATAAATAATTAAAACCTTTTTTAAAAAGTCTAAAAAAAAAAGTCACATGGGTATCAATGTCTGAACCAGGATTCAAATTCAAATGTGTCTGCCCCCTTCGCCCATACACTCCACCTCCCTGCACCATCTCAGGCTAGAAAGCCATTCCCAAAAGCTCCTTCATGGGTCTGAGTGGCTCCCCATCTGCCCATGTTTGCCTTCTAGGACCAACCTGGCTCACGTTTTCTTTGCCCCATGACCTCCTTTTGAGAGGTGAAGGATGCTCTGGTCCGCCCAGGTGTGTTCGCATCTCAAGCTCATTCCCTGGTGTTTCTACTCTCCTGGGTGATTTGGGTTTCAACGTTCATTGGCCTCACCAGAAACTACCTCTCCTGTGCAGCAGCCATCAGACTCCACATGGGAACTGATGGGGTTCCAAGAAAGGTAGGTCCCCAACCTGACTCCAGGGCTAAAGCACATGACCTAGGATAGGTCTCTCAGCACACACCACCCCCTGGCCACCGTGATCAGCCCAGAGGTAGCCCCATGACCTAAGCTGGTCTAGTCAGAAAGCATCCCCGGACTTTGACAGGGAATGCTGGGACAAAGACAATTCCCTCCTTCCAGGGGCACCTGGGTGGCTCAGTCATTGAGGTTCTGCCTTCAGCTCAGGTCATGACCCGGGGTCCAGCTCAGATCAAGCCCCATATTGGACTCCCTGCTCAGCAAGCCTGCTTCTCCCTCTCCCTCTGCCTGTTTCTCCCTCAGCTGTGCTCTCTCTCTCTCTCTGTCGAATAAATAAATAAAATCTTTTAAAAACAAAATACCCTCCTTCCATGTTGGGATGTGAATGAAGAAGCCCCTGGAGGCCTTAGGATGAAGACAATACCAAGGACAACCAAGTAGAAGAATGGAAAAAACAGAGTCCTCAGTGATGTCACAGGAGCTGCTGGATCAAGCCTTGCTTGAAGCCCACCTTGCCCATATACTTCTTAGTTTTGAGAACTGTGGTAGGCTGAGACATGGTCCTCTAAAAGATATCTGCTTCCCAGTCCCTAGAATTGGTAAGTGTTATCCTCTATGATAAACAAGGGAGGGGGGACAGATTTTTCAGGAGGGATTTAAGGTAAGGACTCTGAGATGGAGAGATTATCTGGGTGGACCTCAAATAAAATCCATGTATCCTTATCCTTGGGAGGCAGAGGTAGCTCTGACACAGACACACAGAGAAGAAGGCAGTGTGACCCCAGAGACAGAGTCTGAGTGGTGTGGCCACAAGCTGAGGAGAGCTGGCAGCCACCAGAGCTGCGAGAGGCAAGGACCCATTCTCCCCTGGCAGACATCCCCACTACAGGACAGAGTCCTGCCCTGCTGACACCTGGATTTTGGCCCAGCGATATTGACTTTAGATTGCTGGCCTCCGGAGCAGTCAGAGAATACAGTCCTACTGGTTTAAGTCACCTGGTGTGTGATCATTTGTTACAGCAGCTATAAGAAACAGACACAAGAGCCAATAAAGTGTCTTCAATCTCTATGACTGGTTGAATCCAGTATCTTGTCAGTTGCCACCCAAAGCAGCCTAATTCACACCCAGCCCTGTCGTCCCCTCCTCCAGTTAAGAGGTGAGCTCTCCCCACTGGGAGGCAGCCAGAGAGCCTCTTGACCTTTAGCTAGAGGAAGTGGGGCTGGAGGGGGGCAGCATCAGACAGCTTGCAGACTCCAAGCCAAGGCATCATGGGAGTTTATTTACAGAAAAGTCATAGCCACCAGGGCCCATGCAGGCTCTGGCCAGAAGACCCCAGATATATATACATCTCTCTATATATGTCCCAGCACCCGTCAGCACCAGAGCTGTCCCCAGCCGGGTCCCTGCCAGAGGGACCAAGAGTCAGGCAGCATGAAGGGAGTGAGCCCCAGTCCTTGCCAGATATCACAGGTCACCTGTGCAGTCCCTATGCCAGAGGAAGACACTGGTGTCGGCCCTAAAGCGGACTGGGAGGAGCGTGAGGACGGGCTGTACTCCGGACACCAGGCCATGGAACACCAGCAGTGGCCTGGGGCATGCGACACCAGAGGTCCCTGCAGACCTGTCCAGGAGCTGGGCACGGAGCTGGCGTCCCACCCATCATGCGGGGGGCTCCCCCAGTCTGCTGGGCGCACTTGTGATCCGCTTATTCTCTCGGAGGTTTCGAAGGCGGGCACTGAGGCTGCTGATTTCTTCCACATAGGCCTGGGGCACCCACCCCTTCTCACCATCTGCCAGGCGGACCCCCTCCAGCCAGCCTAGAGCCACACGGGCCAGGAGCAGCATTAGTGGCATCAAAGGGACACCAGGGCCGGGTCTGCCAGGGAAAGCCTAGGCCCTGATGCAAGCCTTGTTTGCACCCCGGGGCAGAGGTGACCTCATCCCAGCGTCCCAGTTCCAGGAAGGACCCTGCCTCTAGCAGTCTAGTAGATGAACTTCTGACCTGTTTTTCCTGACATCCTCTAAGAAGGGTATTTCCCGTTCTTCCCCATCTGTCACTCTGAATCCTCCAGCTTTAGAAGAGGGAAGTTCCTCCTCTTGTCTAACTTGATTCCTACATGCTGTGGTTGATCAACACTTGCACAACCTTTTCCTGTGATATTTTAGCCATCTAGCTACCTCCTGCCCACGTGGGTCCCATCAGGGAGGCCTTCCCAGGAGGTCCCTCTCACCATCACTGGTTTGGGTCCTCACAGCCAGGATATCCGTCTTCTCCAGAGTCAGCTCGTCTGGCTGCAGAGCCTTGTATGTCCTGACGCACTGAACCTGGGGGCGGTCTGATAGCCCAAGGGAGAGTCAGGGAGTCCCCAGGGAGGATGACAGGGGGCGGGGAGGGGTAGAAGGAGGAAGGAAAGGGGTCAGAGGGTGGCTGCTGCTGCTTCATTTTCTCTGTGCCTCCCTCTGCCCACCCTGGCCACCCCCTCCTCTCTTACCCTAAATACAAGCCCTTGGTGAATCCAGTCCCCCTTCCAGCTTGGGTTATTGCCCAGGGCTCTCACCTCCCCAGCTCAGTCTAACACCCTGACGCTGACCTCCAGGTCAAGGTCCACCTGCCTCCAAACACTCCCCATAAAACACTAATGGTCCCTTCATATGCCCCTGTTGGTACTCCAGGGCTCCCTCTAATCCGACGTTCTCAACTGGGAGTCAAGTTACATCACCTCCCCACCAATTATAACCCTCTGGGGCTTCTAACTCCTCTGAGTAAAATCCAAAGCCCTCCCCACAGCCTATAAAGTCCTACATGGTCTGGCATTGTGCCCTCACTGGCCCCCCTTCCTCCTTTCTCCCCTTCACCCAACCCTTGCTCATGGAGCTCAGCAACACTAGCTGCCCTGCTGTTCCCCAAACATTCTGAGCTCCCTCCTGCCTCAGGGCCTTTGCACTGCCTATCCTCCTCCCAGGAAAACTCCCCCCCGCCAAATCTTTTCATGGTTGCCCCTCTTCCTCCTTCAGGGGCCTTCTCTGACCACCTCTCAGGAATGGGAGGCTCATCCCAGAGCTCAAACAGAGATTCTCTTAGCCCAAGCCAGAGAATCTGCTTCAATCTTGGCCCTCGGTTCTTTCTACCACAGGAGACAGGCTGGCAGTATTGAGAAAACCACAGGCTTTGGGGCCAGACCTGGCTTGAATCCCAGCTCTACTCTCCACTGGCCTGTCTGACCTTGGGCAAGTTACTTAACATTTCTGAGCCTGTTTTCTCAGATATGAGAAAATGAGTCTACCCAACGGGGTTATCAGGAGGATTAAGTAAACTAAATGCGTATAAACGTGGCCAACACCAGGCCTGATGAGGAACAAGTATGGGTAGAAACAAGCTCCTTTCCTTTTCCCCTCGTTAGCTGAGCCCTGACTCCCCTGCTCGGCAACCCTCAGCTGCAGCCTGGTGTCCGCCGGATCAGGGTCCCTCTCGGACTGGGCAACACTCTGGCTTACCAGCCTCACTCACACCCCAGAGAGAAGCCTCTAGCTCAACAGAGCCGATCCCCCATCCCGCCCCACCCCACCCTGTAGCCACTTTGGTTCCTGCTCCTTTGCAACAGAGGCGGAGGCAGAAGTAGAGACAGATCAGGGCGTCAGTCTCAGCTCTGCTGCTTACCAGTCCAGTGAACTTGGATAAGTCACTTTAACCTCTCTGAACCTCTGTTTTCTAACTGGTAAGATGGGTTTGTGTGGGGATGAAATGGGAGGACACAAAAGGCTTTGCCATCAGGTACCGCCTGAGCACTGGGAAGGAGGGCGGGGTTCCGGCCTGGCTTATGAAAATGTTGCCGCTCTTTCAAGGGTCTGCATGGCAGCCCCTGATGGCCCCAGACTGGCTGGTCTCTCTCCCCGCCGGCTCTGCCAGCAACAAGGCACCAGGATGGGAGGAAAGAGGGAGAGCAGTGAGGGACCCAACCCCAGGGGGATGTGGGCCCGGAGGCAGGGTGGGGTAGGCAGACTGCTACCTTGGCCCTCGCTGAAGAACTCCTTATCCTCCTGGGAGCTGGAGGGACACAGGGCTGAGATCCATCGCTGCTTCTCACTTCTAGGGAGGGGGAGGCTGAGTTGTCACAATGTGCAAAGTGCAGTCTCCCAGGGCCAGGGTGGTGAGACAGGGCTGGGAGGATTGGGCATGGTGTCCAGGCTCAGGGCATGCCCGCCCCACAGCCCTGTCTGTCCCCAAGCCCGGGCCCCACCCAGCTCTGAACCTAACAGAGCAGGCCTGGAAGCCGCTGGACGCCAGCTCCACCTGTGGCCTGCCTCAGGCCCCGTCCTACAACCACACACCGCAAGGCCTTGTGCCCGCCCAGGGGTCCTCGCCTCCCACGCCTAAGCCCACTCACTCCGTCCGGGCCCTCAGCAGGAACTGGTGCTTTGCGTGGGGCCCATGGAGGAGCTGGAGGAGGAACACGTGGCCGGGGACGCCTTGCAGCTTCAGGCTCAGGTCCTTCACCTGGAGCTCGGCCATCCTGGCATGGACGAACACGGCGAACTTCCCTAGCCTGCGGGACCGGGGCAGGTGAGGTCAGCCCGCTCACCCTTGGGCTCCCTCCCCGGGGAAACTCGGAAGACAATCACCTCCCTAAAAGCCCGCAGGTCCCCACAAGGAACGGGGAGTGCCATTCTCGCGGACTCCCTGGCAGAAGAAAAAGGTGACAAAACTAGTCCCTGTCCCAGGGCACGCTTTAAGGTTCTCTGAGTCCCTGTTCTAAAGAGCCAACAGGCCGCCCCTCGGATGAGATCCCTGTGCTGCTTAGTGTCTGACTCTTGGACCACGTTGAAGCTGAACTATGTCTCTCCTTTGCTACTCTATCCTAGTGCTCCACACTGCCAGGCCCATCATTTGGGTTCAATAAACACTTTTGGGAAGGATGGGGAGTGGAGTGGGTCAAGGATGTCCCACAGGTCCCTTCTTCTCAACCCGTCTAAACAGAAGTCAGTATCTCCCAGTCCAAACCAGACCCCTTCACTGTTCCCCAGTCCAGGGAAAGACTCCATCAAGTAGCCCAGGAGGAAACTCAGCCATCATTCCAGCCTCTTCCCTCCCTCTCCCCACACACCCTGCCAGCAGCTCCATCCTACCCAACTCCTGACTGTCCCTAGAATCCGCGTCCCACAGACCCCCTACCATTTTGGGGTGGATCTACTCTCATCTGGGCAATCTGTAATAGCTTCTGGTCTCGCCCCTTCCAGTCCATCCTCCAAACTGGCCAGGAGTAAAATGTCACTCGTCTACGTAACTCTCCATGCTCCCCATGGCCCTCAGCAAGCACAATCTCTGTCCTATGACTTTCAACAACCCCACCTCCTTCTCCTGGCCTTCCCCTCTACGAATCTAGCCATATTTAGGCTTCATCCTCCCCCAAACACACTCTGCTATTATACCCTACTGTGACTTTGCTATATCCTCCCAAACTCCTTCTCCACCTGGAAAACTCCTATGTATCCTTCAAAACCCAGCTCAAATGTCCCTTCCTCTTTGAATGTTTATAGATTCTCACCCCATACCAGGGGATGCTACAGTAGGAGTGCACCTTTCCCCTAAAAACCCTGACCAGGTGGTTTTAAGGATATAGCTTAATTGTCCTGAGAGCTCCTATAGGCAGAAATGACCCTAGCACCCTTCAGGGCCTCGAAGAGAACAGGAGTTCGGTGACACTTTTGTGAATGAATGAATAAACCAGGAATGAACCCTTCCCATAGCCTAAGAAGTCCTTTCTTCATCACATCCAGTCTGAAGGCTTACCTCACTCAGAAAGACTTCTCCCTTATCCCAAACTGATAACAATCACAGCTAACACTGAGTGTGTGTTTACTGCGTGCCAGGTACTATGTTAAGCTCTTTCCCCCTCTTATTATCACACTGAGTATCCCTACATGATAGTCTCTGTGTTACAGATGGAAGATAAGATAATACAATGGTTAAGAGCCTGGGATCCGACATCAGACAGACCTGGCCTCCCAGCTCCTGCACTTACTAGATCCATGCTCTTGAGAATAACAAGGGAGCCCACTTTCCAGGCAGATGCTTAGAGGATTGGGGATACTAGTGCAAACAGCGGGGGCACCTGGGTGGCTGAGTGGGTTAAGCCTCTGCCTTTGGCTCAGGTCATGGTCTCAGGGTCCTGGGATCCCTGCATCTGGCTCTCTGTTCAGCAGGGAGCCTGCTTCCCCCTCCTCATCTGCCTGCCTCTCTGCCTACTTGTGACCTCTCTCTGTCTGTCAAATCAATAAATAAAATCATTTTTAAAAAATTATGCACACAGCATGCCTGGCACAGGACAGGTACTCAGTAAATGTTGGCCATTATCTTGATGAGTTAGGTCGGAGCTGAGACTCCAGAACTGTGCTCTTAATCTCTGCTCTACTCGTCTTAAGCTCAGAGCACCACTGAGTCCTCTGCACACAGCCTAGCCCTTGGTTCTCAGGTCTGGAAAATGGACTGGCCTCACATCGCTGCCTTTTCTAGGGGAGCCTCCAAGGCTCAGGGTGCCCCAGCAGCACAGACAGGGGCTTCCAGGCCCAGTGATGCCTCACAGTAGGGAGAAGGGACCTGGCTCCGGTCTACCTCCCGCACCCTGCCTAGACTCACTCCTTCCGCCGGGAGAGCAGCAAGCAGTCATTGAAAAGGTGCAGGTAGACTGCCTTGCTGGACAGCTTCAGCTTGGCAGGCGGAGCTGCGGGCAGTGGTGCCAGCTCCACTAGTTCCCCATGCCGAACCAGCCAGCGGGCTTGCGAGATCAGTGGGAAGATCTGGAAGGATGGGGAAGGCAAGGGGGAGAAAAGGTCAAGCCCCGGACAGCAGGGCAGACAGCACAGAACAGGGGAGGGGAGAGGGTGGGGGGTGAGGAAGCGGCCTGCTGTGCCTGGGGAAGGACGGAACGAGAGTGGCCCCTTGGCGGACCCCACCCGGCCAGCGGCAGGTGTGCACCTTGCCCTCAAAGTGGATCTTCTTGCTCAGATGGATGAGCTCCTCTGTCCTCTTCATGGACTGCACACTGGCATTGCACTCTTGCACCAGCTGGGGAGGCCGTGTGTGAGTCATCTGTGGTCCCCCAACCCCGGCTCCCAGAGCCCAGCCTCAGACTCCCACCTGGGAACCAGAGGCTCTGCTGGCTGGGGCTCATTTCGAGATATGCCGGGGATCTGGGGGGCGGGGTCCTGGAGAGCCAAGCTCACCTCCTTGAGTGCATTGAAGGCCCTGGTGGCCATGTCTTCGTCTTCGGAGCCCTGTGCTGTCCGTTTCAGGATGTTCTAGAAGGTGAGGTCAGTGTGGTGAGGCAGACCGGGACCTCCACCCATAGCCCTGCCCGCCAGTGGTTACCCAGGAGGGTCTGTTGAAGGCATTGCACCATGCCCCCCACAGCTCTCACTGTAGCCCGGTGCCCTCCACGTACCTCCACCAGCATCTTGAGGCGGGTGATCCTCTGAAATGGCAAGATGAGGAAGGAGGTGAGGGGCAGACGTTGGCATACGGGAGACTCCTCCAGGCGAGCCAGGATGCCAGGGAACTTGGGGTTCTCCAGGCTGGAAGACGGGGAGGGACCTGAGGTCACAGATGGGCTCATAGATCCTATGAACCCCCAGGATCCATGACCCCGGCCACCCTCTTGGTTTTTCAGGTGTCTTCTTGTCACATCCTTCCTGCCCTTTGGGGTGGGGTCTAAACTGACCCTGGTCAGAGAGCCCTATTCAGGAACCATTACCGCCTAAGACTCCCTTTATCTCCGACCCCCACCACCCCACGCCCGCCTTTCAGAGCCTCCAGCCCTACAGCAAGCGCTGGTAGGTGCGCTCCTGGTAGGCCTGGTTGGTGACATAGGGCAGGTACACTCGGCGGAAGGCTGGACAGTGGTGCAGCACAATGTCACACACACTGAAACGCAGGACATCTGCCTCCAGCCGCTGCTCCAGGTCCTGCAGAAACCTGAGGGGTCCGGTGAGAGGTCAGGGTCAGGGTCAAGGCGAGAACCCAGACCTGGGAGCCCGGACAGTCACAGGCTTTGTCCCCGCCCCCACTACACCTGACCATGCCACTCCCTCACCTCTCGCTCGTGCTCTTGACTTCGGGCAGTTTGGAGAATAGCCATTGCTTGTCCTGCACCCCCAGACATTCGCTCAGTTCAGCAGATCCTAAGAAGTGGCCCACGGCCACCGACAAGCTGTGGATGTAGGAGGCCTCGGACGTGATCAGCTCAAATTTGGCCTGAGTGAGGGGGAGGCAGGATGGAAAGGGCTGGACCGGCTCGCCTCAGACACTGTGAACTCACCACCCACCCTTCCGATCCCGCCTTTCCCTCCCGGTCCCCCTGCAGTCCCAGCCCCACTTCCGATGACCTAGTACCTGCCGGGTGAAGGGGACCACCTCTGGCCGCGCGCTTTTGTTCAAACTCAACGGAAGACCTCGATTGAGAGGTGGAACCCCTAGCTCCACCCATCGGGCCTGCCCCGCCAGCCGGGCCCTCTCAGTCCTTCGCCCACTAGGCGTTTTCTCTCCAGAGGGCTCCGCCCCTCCTGGTCCTAGCTTTCGCGGTCCCACCTCGGCCGGCCCAGCCTGACTCCGCCCCTCCGCCGGCCCTGTTGGCTCCGCCCCGGACCCCACCCCTGATCCCACCCCTCCTTCCAGCGGCGGCTCAGTCCCCGCTAGCAGCCACCCCCAGGTCCTCGCACCCACCTTTCGCATAGACGGTCCCCCCGGCCCCGCCCTCTCGTGGCCCCGCTTTCCCCGCTGGGTCCCACGCCCACCTCCAGCAGCGTGCAGTCCCGCTGGCCCGGTACCCCTGGGCCCCAGGCCCCGCTAAGTCTGGGGACCCGTCCCCCGTCCTCCGGGCCCCGCCCCTTCTGTGGCCCCGCCCCCTGCGGGCCCCAGGGCCACCTCCCGGCCGGCAGCCCCGCCGGCCCCGCCCCGCCGGCTCCCGGCGCCCACCTCCTGCAGTTTGCAGTCGCGCAGGCTCAGCGTGGCCAGGACGCCGCTGCCGCGCACGTCGGGGATGTCCTGCCACAGCGAGAAGGTGGAGCCTCGCGCCGAGCGCTGCGCCCGGAAGGAGCTGCTCGGGGAGAGGTTGGCGCGCGGCGGCCCGGGCCCCTCCTCCGCGCCCTCCGCCTCGTCCCCCGGGCCCTCCTCCTCGCGCTGCTGCCGCCGCAGTTCGCGGGCGCTGGCCACGTCGCTGTATTCCTGGTAGAGGACCGCTGGGCGGGGAGAGGGGCGGGGGAGGGCCGTGGGGCGCCCGCCTGCCCGGTCCGGCTCCTGCCCGGCTCCCCGAGAGCCCGCCTCACTAAACGAGCCTTTCGGACGGTTCGGGTAGCGGGACACCGTGAACGCGTTCACTCACGCACTCACTCCTTCCAGAAACACTGCTTGCGCACCCACTGCGTGCTGGCCACTGTGCTCGCTCCTGAGATTCGGCTCTCCCTCCTTCTCGCCAAGATCCCAACTTCTCAACTCTCCAAACCCCCCGCCCCCAGCCCCTTCGTCCCACGTACTGTTAAGGAGAAACCGTGACTGGCGCCGCTCGCTGGAGCTCCTGGACCCCAGAGCCAGCTCTTCCGGCGTGTCCAGCCTAGGAAACGGACAAGGTCAGGGCCCTTCTTCACCTGCACCCCTCCTCGGACCGAGCGTGCAGTGGGAGATGGTACCTGGGCTCGGGCCAGCCGCTATGGCACCCGCTCGGGTCAACAGGGGCTGGCATCACCAAACCGTCCACCCTCATCTCTACACTGCGCGACTCCCTTCCAGATGCTCTTCCTGGAGAGGGCGAGAGCTGAGGGTGGGTGGCTCCAAGAATGGCGCTGGGCGCTGGGGTGCCACGCTGCAGCTGACCACCCAGTCTCAGGTGTGGGCCTTGCCCCATGCTGCATCTGGTTCATGGCCTGCTCTTAGGGCCCAGGGGAGAAGCTGATACCTTCCCGAGCTGTGCCAGTGCCTGACCCTGGGGTCAGCACCCTGGCTGCTGAATTCCGCCCGAGGCGTAGGGAAGAGTGCAGGCGGGTCATCAACTCCGAGGCTGAGAAGCGCCTGCGCTCAGGCCCCTCCAGGCCTACTCTGGAGGGTACGGACAGCTCCGGTGGCCTAGGCTCCTCTGTGCTCAGGGTCTGCTCTGCTGCCTGGCCAGGCTCCAGGAAGACAGCATGGGCACCGGGGCTGCCAGGGAGCTCTTCACGCTGATAGACCCGCATCTTGCGCCCTGTGGGGAAGTGGGGTGAGCGCACTGGCTGGCATCCGCTGGGCGCTCTCTCCACTCCTCCCTGTTGCTACCCTGTGGCCCGGAGCATCTGAGGGAAGGGTCAGTGTTTTGGCCAGGATCTGGTCCCCATCCCCAAATGGGATCAACAAGAGGGCTAGTAGAGAGAACAGAGTGCCTGACTGCAGTGGGCAAAGGGCCAAGAGCCCAGGACAGCCACTCATCTGCTGTGCAGCCTCTGAGAAGTCACCTGTCCTCCCTGATTTCCAGTTCTCTTGTCACTAGAATCTACCACTTGTCCTGCCTGTTTGGGGGAACGCTGGGGCTTATGAGTCTTAAAAGAGCCACTCAACTTCTCCCCTATCTGTGCCACTAGGCCACCACCCCCTCACTCAGAGTGACTTACAAGCAGATTTCTTCTCCGAGCCGTGACTGGCCCGGCGCTGTGGCTGTGGGTGCTGGGGACTCCAGGGTCCCTCCAGAGCTTGGGGCTGGGCACTAGGACAGTGTGGCCAGCTGCCAGCTCTGCTGGGCCGCAGCCCCCCACTGGTGGAGATCTCAGTGTCTGGGACTTCCGGGGATGGTGGCCATGGCAGCCCTTGGAGAGGAGCAGGGGTCGCCAGGGACCAGCGGCTGCCTGGAGCCCGAAGCTCCTCGGGGGCAACAGGGAAGAGATCCAGACACACAGGGCTCGGGGGCTGCAGGCTGGGCAGCTCTGCAAAGGACAGACTCTCCTGCTGGCACACAGCTACTGGGCGGCGGTCAGTGCCACGTCTCCCAGCCAGGTGGGACTGGAGGGTGGCAGGTGGCCCACAGTCCATTCCTCCTTTGCTCTGCCACCCACCTGGGCCTGCAGGGGAAAAGGTATGAGAGGCAGACACAGAACAGGAGGGCTGGCCAGCAAGCCACCTTTGTCTTGGAGGCCTGGACAAACCCTTGTGTACACACATGCGCACACATCTGTTCAAGCACACTCACACACCTAATCGCATAGTCACAGCTAATACTTCCTGGGCACTTACTGAATGGCAGGCCAAGTGCTTTATATATGTCATTTCATCTAATCCTCACCACCCTGAGGTGACGCTAGTTTTATCCCCATTTTTTAGGTGAGGTAGGGGAGGCACAGAGGTTACTTGGCATATGGGGGAGCCAGGATTCAAACCCAGGCAGTCTGGCTTCTGAGTCTGTGCTTTGAACCAGCTCGAGCATTTTCAACTCTCACTGACCTATGATCAGACACACATACATACGTTGTCACACAATCCGTGTAGGTTCCATGCACATGCACACACGCTCCCTTCCAAGGAGACACATGGACATACACACTTTCATGGGTACACTCAGACACTTCATATTCACAGGCTTACACATTCACACACTTTTCACACAACTACATATATTCACAGACTCTCTCTCTCTCTCTCATACACACACACACACACACGCTGACCCATTAGATATTTATGTATCTGCTCAAGCTTTCTCACACTCCTGTTCAATTCACACTCACACACTGAGATACCAACGCAAACACACAGGCCCAGAAGTCCTTGCTTTGGTGTTACCCAACCTCTGCTCCCATGCCCAGAGTTGCAGCCTTCAGCGCTGAGTGGTGCCCACACCCTGCCAGGCTGGCTGGGAGGGTCACAGACTGGCAGGCGGGCCACCACCCAGATCAGGCTAGGCCCTCCCGGGAGAAGGGCAGGGAGATGTCCCAGCTCCCCAGTTTGGGGCGAGAGAGGGGTTCTTCCCTACCCGGGCTCTCAGCCCCAGATAGAGCCAGGCTGACTGGGTCCTCTCTGGGCAGGAAGTCATCCCCAAGGAGTCTGCCGGAGCCTCGGGACAGGCCTGATGACAGAGGGATCTGAGCCCCCACAGCCCTTCCCCCGGCCCTCCACCAGCTGCCCTCCCGCAGCCCCTCACCTCTCCAGCCGAGGGCCGCTGCGGATCTTGTTCTGCTCCTGCTCCCCGCGGCTGGGGAAGCCCTCTCTCGGCCCAGCCGGCTGGGGGAGATCCCACCCAGACAAAGAGTTTGATTCATCAAACCCTGTGGTGAGGCAAGCGGGAGGGAGGGAGGGAACAGGCAGCGGGCTGGGCGGGGGCCTACCCTTGCCTGGCCTCACTGTGGGCAGGCGGGGCAGCAAGGACCCCCCCCCCCCGAGGCCCCCTCTGGCCAGAGGAGCAGAGCCCAGCCTGGCAAGGCAAGGAGACCCAGGAGACAGAGATAGAGATAGAGACCCAGAGATACGGAGAGCCTTTAGGCAGCATCTCAGCATGGGAGACCCCAAAACACTCAAACCCAGAAAACCACAGATGCTGAGACATTCAGGGACCCAGGGATGGAGACAGAGAGACAGAGATACCAAAAATGTCATAGACCAGATACTCAGAGACAGATGCAAAGCCTGGAAAAAAACGGAGACAGATGGACAAACATTTTGTGGCCCACCGCGTTGCCAGTCTAGTGAGGAAGCTAAAAATGAGAACAGTTACAACTCGGGGTTGGCAGGAGCCAAACCAGAGGAACCATCAGCGCTGGGTTCAACTTGACCTGAGCATTCCAGGAAGGCTTCCTGGAGGAAGTAATGGCTAACTGTTCCATCTGAAATAGCCAGGGACCCAGTAAACATGGATAGGGAGAAAATCTTGACCTGAGAGAAACAGTGACAGTGTCAGTGACCGAGGGATGAGGGAGGGATGGAGGAGAGGACTAGGGTGGGGGGAGGGACCACTCTATCTGCACAGCTTCTCCCCTGCTCTCTTCAGTCCCTGCCTGGGGAGGGGCTGCTCCTAAGAGACAGTTACTCTGCCAGGCCCTCTCCACAGGGACAACTTTAGCATGTACCTTAAACCTCTGTCCATCTGAGCACGTCTCTGTTTCCTCATCTGATAAATAGGCCACTCATACCAGCTTTAAAACACTAATGTGTGAATCAATGACAGCGCGTGTAAAGCCCCTTGCATATGGTAGGAGCTCCGTAGTTGATAGTCATTCTCCTGAATATTGTAATTAGTCTTTCTCTAGTCGGGCAGGTGGCATGGGCCATCCCACGGATGGGGAAACTGAGTCAGTGAGGATGAGACCCACCGTTCTTTGTAGGAGCGTGTGGAAGGAGACTCGGGACCACTGCCTGCCAGAGAAGTCTCTTTCTCTCCAGGACTCTGAAGTTCTCGACATAGAAGTCCTATTTGCTTCTGTGAGGACCCATGTGCAAGAATACACACGTGCTTCTGCTCCCTTATATCCTGGGAGATCCTCTCCACTTGGATCTGGGAAGCCCCTGGAAGGCAGGGAGCACACCACCCCACACCCTCCTGAGTTACAGGGATAAATGAGCAAAAACATGGAAGCCTTGGGGCAGGAGCACCCCCCTATTAAGAGCTTAGAGGAGGGCGCCTGGGTGGCTCAGTGGGTTAAAGCCTCTGCTTTCGGCTCAGGTCATGATCCCAGGGTCCTGGGATCGAGCCCCACATCGGGCTCTCTGCTCAGCGGGGAGCCTGCTTCCTCCTCTCTCTCTGCCTGCTTCTCTGCCTACTTGTGATCTCTGTCTGCCAAATAAATAAATAAAATCTTTAAAAAAAAAAAAAAAAAAGAGCTTAGAGGAGAAGCCTGGGTGAATGCCAGGGGAAGGTGGTAGGTTTTCTGTAGAGAGGAGGCTGGAGGCAGGTCCCTAGGGGAAAAGTCAGGGATGAGTCAACCTCCACCTCTGTCAGACCAAAAGGCAATGACCCATCTAGCTGGGATACCAGCCCTATGGCCTTCCAGAGATGTGGCCCACTCAACCTCGGTGCTCGGGACCAAAGAGGGGTTGAGCTGTGTTCATATTGTGTGCAGCTCATCTCTGCTAGGAAAAAAAAAAAAAAAAAAGGAAAAAGCCTCAGGAAGAGAACTGGCCCCAAGTAGCATGGTCATTCCCGGCCCCAGAAATGATCACTGAATATTCTAGTGCCAAGGGTCATTCTGGAACCTACAGGGGAAAACCCCTGCCAAGGTTCAAGCCCAGTGTTGACACTACCAGCTGTGTGGCCCTAGGTGAGTCATAGCCTATTCCTGGGCCTCAGTGTCCTCATCTATAAAGTAACACGGAAAGTCCCTCTTGGCTGCCCTCTCTAGGAAGCCCAGGTCATCATGAGTGTCTCCATGGCCAGAGAAGGACAGTAGGGACCAAGGAGGGCCCCATCCGGTGGACACTGCTAATCACACAGACAATGGACCCAATTGGCAAGGCTGGCAGAGAGGGTCTCTGGATACTACTGTGGTTCAGGGAGAACACCTCTCGCTTCCTATGCCCAGGATTTCCCTGCCCCCTCCCTGGTCCCCCTTGCCCCAGTGCCCAGAGGAATAGGGCCCTGCCATGGCCCCTGTGCCCCTTCAGGGATAAAGCCGAGTGGAAGGTCATGGCTGGAAGGGGGATCCAAGCCAAACAGGCTGTGGAGCCTCAGGAGGCCATAAGTGGGTGGGAGCCCGGATCGGAGGCCAGGCGGGCAGCACAAAGGACTCACTCTGGGAACACTGGCGGGAGGAGGATGGGACTGCTGGCAGCAGGGTGGGGCCCTACCTCAGCCAGGGAGCTCTGTCCAGCCTCCGACACGGTCCAGGGCTCCAGACCACCTGGGGGCTCTGGGGTTGCAGCTGGGTCCTCAGGGGGCGATGTCAGCATGGCCCCTGAGCCGGGCAGTGCACGATCCTGGGTATTGTGTGGGGCGGGGAGGGGGGGAGGCGAAGGCGGAGGGACCCTCGCAGGCAGGCGGGCGGCTGTCTCAACGTGCCTGCTCCCCGCCCCCCTTCCCCAGAACCGGTTTGGCCAGTCTGGGGTACAAGAGGGGGGCTGGAACAATGGGAGTCCTATGCCCAGGAGAGGTTCTGAAGGACCCCAGACCGATGTCCTAAAGATGGGGGAAGCACTGCTTTACTGCCCAAGAAACAGTTCACCCCTCTTCTGAAGCTGCTCCAATGTAAGACATGCTGGGGGAGGAGTGGCTTCACAGAGAAACTTCCAAGCCTTGGACTCCTCAGGGACCCTGAGAACTCTGCAGTTTGCTGACCCTCTCTGAGCTGGCTACAACACCCATAAAATAGGAACACTCGTTTCCATGGTGGAGAGATGGAAATCACGAAAGTTGGTGATGTGATGCATCGAGGACCGGCCCGACCAACCCTTTCGGCATCACTGCTCTCATGAATGACCCGTCCTCCCCTGCTGCCTGGAATGACCCACCTTGCCATTTCCAATGGCCTCCTCCTCCAGGAAGCCTTCTGGGTCTCTAGTCCACACCGAATGAGCCCTCAATAAACCAACAGCCCAAGCAGAACCAGCCTCCAGTAAGGAGACTAGAGCAACCATGCAATCATCCCAAGCCCATGAAAGGGAAAGCCGTTCTTTTCCTAATACTACCTGCCACTTATTTAAGCGCTCCATAATGGCCAGACACTCAGTGTTAATACCAATATGTACACAAATACCAATACTCATGTTGTGAATAAATTATTGTACACTATGTGCCAGGCACTGTTCTGAGCACTTCACATCTGTTTACAGGTTTTCCCCACTACCCCAAAGTAGAGCCTTCCTACAAAAGCTTTCCTAAGCCAAAAATGGCACAAAACAAAGAAGCAGTTACCATTAATGTATATGGAAAAATGTTTTTTAGCATTTCCATACCCCCAAAATAACCTCTCTTAGACTTTTCTGATACTTGAGGACACATCTTCCTAACAGATGGCAAAATAAATCGAGATAAAGGACAGATGCTCCCGGACACAGTTCAAAGGTCCAGTAGTTTGATACTGAGATGCCTAGTGCGGGGTGGGGAAGAG